CCGCCCAAAACAAAAACCCCCTGATCCATTTATGGAGTCAAGCTGCAGCCAATGAGGCGCCCAGATTCAAACAGGTAACAGGTGTCCTGCTCAGGACAGTCAAACTCACTGGGAAGTTCATTTTATCCATAGACACAAAGGGAAAACTGGGAATTATACGCAGTGTTAGCAAACGGGTTGAGTTTAAATCTGTTGCACCAGTTTTACTCTCCATAACATTGTTTTTCTTAATTAAAAGGACACTTTAACCCACCATTTTCTTTCACAGGGTGACAACCAAATAAACTCAGTATGTGCGTTCATGGGTGGTACCTTCAGTGACACCTCAAACAACCGGAAAATGCAGTGTCCACACAATAAACTGTGCCTTTTTAAATACTTTATATAAACTAACCAGTAACGTCCCACTAGCCACATTACAAATGTCTCGGGTTCGTTCTTCGCAACCTGTCTACTATTTATTATCGTCTGTTGTTATTCCTTTAAGTCTGGGTGACACAATGAGCTCATGTTTTATATAAAAGGAGGTTTTCAGCGAGATGTGCAGATTAAAAACTCACCGTCTGCTCGGAGCAAAGTGTCCAAAACAGAGCTTTCATTTCCTGTTCCTTCTCGTGCTGCCTTCAAGTGCGCTCAGTAAATTCCTGCTGCTGCAGAAATGCGGAAATACGAAAGAGACACACACACCAAACTTTTGGGAGCACATTCAAGTGCACGCGTAGAAAGTAAGAGAAACGCGTGCTCTGAGATGTGTTATGTTATCAAGACTTTAAATGTTTAGATCTGCCTTATTTTCCGCGGATTATGTGCACATTTATAGTTCACTTATGTACTATGTCGCCTTATTTCCCCCATTATTTAAACCCTGGAACAAATCAATCGCTTTAGCTCGTATGAATGCACTCCGCCCCGCCTCTCTACATTTCCGATAGTTCCGAATGCATCATAATAAATTCCCGTAGTGCGCATGCGGACAAACGGTCGCCCCGGCCAACCAGAAGCCGCTTTTTTTCTCGGTTTGAATTCAAGCTCAACCGTTGAGACAAACCATTTTAAAAAGGTTATTTCTTTTAAAAACGAGGGGGAAAAAACAAATAAACGCAACAAGGATTAATCACACCACTTCTCCACAACAGACCACACACACACTCAGTCTCCCGATTTGGGTTTCACTATTTATTTTTCTCGAAGACAACCTATCCTGCAGCCTATCTCCCAAAAAGTTGTTTTGGGGCAAACCACCTTTTTTTTTTTTTTCTTCCATGTCATAATTTTAGATTTGAAACCACATGTTTGCTAACAAGGAATGCTGCAAAAAAAAAAAAAAAAAATTAATACCCCTATGTTCAACAGAAGGTGTATGAGCACAATGTGTAATCATTTACTACAGTGTTTGAAGTCAACACAAAAAATGGGTAAGGGTAAGCAAGGGTAAGCTTGTACACCTAGCTGGTATAAGAGGAAAGAGGAGTATGGGGCTAAGGACTCTGCAAGGTACTAAAAAAGGTACAGCAAAACTTGTTCATGGGTTTATTTATTATTCAGGAGAACCCACTTAGGACAACTCCAGTCTGACGTGTGGGACACCCTTTGACCTTGAGAAAAGGGAGGTTAAATCCCCTGTAGTCTAGCTGAGATACATTAGCAGAATCGTTACTGCTGCTCCTGAAATAAAGTAATTATTTTCTCAAGTATCACTAAAAAGCATCATTGGATTACTCTAGAAAGACAACAAAGATTGTGGTTGAGTGATGCATATTGTAGAGGTTGTTGGCAGGTCAAAACCTATGAAACCAAACCAACACACCTTCAGAAAGACTTCAGGCCTCACTTTGCAGTACATGTGCAAAACCATAGATTATTTTAGCAAATCGGACACTAGTGGGGGGTAAGGGAAGGGGGAAACATGTAACATTTAAGCACAGTTTTACTTAAAATGAAAATTACACTGTATCCACAGCCTAAGGAAACTAAAATACCCTAAAAAATAACTGTGCTATAGTTTAGTACATGCAAAGGTTATGATTCACAATCCTACGTGAAAACGGCCGTTGCTTTCTTCTCCCTTGGTGATAAGTCAAAAAGCTATGGCAACAATACTGCAAAGCAGTGATTTTGCTGTAAGTTGAAGGGAAAATAATGAAGTGGTGTTGGAGGGGAGGGGGGGGGAGACAGGTCATTTGGTTGATTATAGTGATGGTGTCAGAATTTCACAGCATCAAGCCCATGTCTGGTGCGTAGGTTAGGGTTCTGGCGTGAGGGTGGAATACGATCGTCATCAATCACCTTTTACAGAAGCAATGAAACTAAAAGCTGAAAATAAAAAAAGTATCATAAAAAGGAGAACACACTGGAGGCAAAAAAGAAAAAGCCCAAAAAGCCACCAAATGCATCTTAATACAATGCACTGCTGCTCCACACCTGCCAATAGCATTGTCCAGTGTCAATTAATACTAACTTAACAATAATTCAAAAAAAAAAAAGAAATCCTTGTGATGACGATGATTTTTTTTTTTTTTTTTTTTCTCATATCAAGTTCTTCCTTTCAGGGATTCTTGAAGATCGCAGCCTCTCTCTCATCTTTCAAGGAAATTTCTTTTCTGAAAACCTTTGCTAATCCTCATTGTTGCGTTTCTCAATTCTAGTTTCTCTTCAAGATTTTGTTATTTTGTTTTTGTTGTTTTTTTTTCTTCCCGTCTCTGCATGCGTTCTCACCCAGTCTTGCATACTCCCAGTCACGCACGCAGCCAAGCACACACAACTCATCCGTCCATTCTCTCGCACATGCGACACGCGCAGCCGGACTCCTGGCCCCGCCCACCAGGGGGAGAGGATGGTGCCCTGTTGGGGGGCGTTTTTTTCGTTGGAGGAGATGAACCTGGCTCCTCAGCACTGAGTCCAGACATTCATACACAATGGGTCCATTCACACACATGTCTGATAGCGTGGCCGATTGGGGGAGGGGCACATTGAGGGTGGCGCCCTCTCTAGTCGGAGGACCGCAGAATTGTGATGGTTCATGGTTCATCTCAGTTCATAATTAAAGTTATATTCATTTCTGCATTTTGTTGTGTTGTAATATTTCAAGATCTCTTGATTTTGTATTTTTGGATGTCCTTGGTTCTCCCCGGGCAGACATCGAGTTTTTTTTTGTGTTGTCATTTGAAGTAGTTTTCCGAAGACGACAGCTCCAATAACGCAGTAGTTATGTCGGCATGTCTCTCAACGCATTCGATGTAGATGTTTTTGCTTTTTTGCAACATGTAGCCACTCATTCTCACTCGCACCCACTCGCCATCTCAAACTTCATTTGGGCTGGTTCCCCTGGAATGCCAAATGAAATCCACACATTTTTCTCTCAGATAAGATGCAGCCATGGATCCCACGAGCCAAGCACAATGGATCAAATTTCTCACACTCTCGCTCTCTCTCGCTCTTTCTCTCCTAATTTTTTATGTTGAACAGAGTGCTGCATCGTGAACAAAACTCCAGAATACCCCAGATGCCGTCTAGAACTGGAATCCCTCGGCTGGCACGTTGGCTGAGTTAAAGCCGTAAGTTCCACCCTGGATGGCCTCTGGGACCAGGCTGGTGTCTTCATCAATCTGCGAGAATAGACGAAGCAACGGGGGCGTTAAACAACATACCGAAATGTGATCGGTTTAGACTTTTACCACCGGAAAACTTCCAAGAGTAAAAAGAAAACACACCACTACTTGTTACTTACATCATCAGATGAGAAGAACTGATCAATTATTTCGTATGCCAATTTGTAGATGTCTTCATTTTCGTGATTCTGCAGTTGCTCCACTTTTTCCAAACCTGAGGAACAAAAAGATAAATAAATAAATTGTACTTAATTCAATCAAACATGAACATCTGTTAATAAGAACCCTGATGGACTGAACTTACCTCCACATTCCTCAATAAGGTTAGCAATCGTTTCGGCCTCATCGTCCGCCATCTTGAGGATATTGCTGAGGCCGTCGAGAACAACCTGAACGACCTGGGCATCCTTCACTGTCAGCAGGTTGCAGAATGGAGGGATCACCTGCTTCTCAATAAGGTGTGCCACCTGGAGGCGAACAGAAAGTTAGTGTGATGGACTTCAACAACAACGGGTTCAACATTCTTAGCTTCTAATTGTTTTTGCTGATTGTTTTCTAGGTTGCATTCGATTTTAGGTCAAGTTTACTCTTACCAGATGTCTGTTAAATCCAAATTAATAATTTCAGCAAACTAATTAAAAGCTAAAACCTAAAGTTTTATTTTTTTAGTTTGAGATCAATGTTTGAAAAATATTTTAATATAATGAAATTGAGTTCAACTATATTGCCCAAAACTTCTCCCTTTTCTTCACAGTTTCCACTTTTCATGACTCAGTTTCATCCTCATTTACTGCAATCAAAGATTTTGTAAAAAAAATTAAATAAAAAAAATCAAATAGTGATAGTTTTTCTTGAGTAAAGTGTAGATAGCAGAGCAGTTGAGGGAGAATGATGTGACTAGTTCATTCTTACCTGATCTTTTCTCCCACTTATTGTCAGGTTGCTGATGGCCCAGGCTGCTTCCTTCTGAGTGCCAAAGTCACCCTAAAAAAAATATGCATTCAAAGTAAGAATTATTTCCCTACATGCTCTCCAAAACTCATCAACACGTACCTTTCACAGTTTATAAAGACAATGGAAACGCACCTTGTCGAGCAGGTGAATGATCATGGGGACTAGCTTGGCGTCGATGACAGCCTGCACCTGCTGCTGGTTGCCTGCTGTGATGTTGGACAGGAACCACACTGCCTCCTACAGGACGAAAAGCACAAATACAAGCGTAAGCTGCAGGTTTCTACTGTGGAGATGTGCAAGCTGAGCCATGGAGCTTTACGTGCACACAGGTTTCATCCCAAACCAAAGAAGCCAGGTGATTTTACTGTCACACATTCAACTAGAGGAGTGTCTGAACTGGATCAGAACCCAGAGGTCCACTCAGAGAGTCTGACCTCTGGTCGAGACAGAGCGCTGTGGGAGGGGCAAGGGCGGGGTTGAGGCTCTAATCATTGACCGGGTCACAAGAGGGGGCCTCATTTTTAAGTGACTGGTCTCAGATGCACTCCGATATCAGCAGAGACACGAGGTCTTCAGCACCCTCTGGCCACCGACCCATAGTATCACACATTCAAATCACTCGCACACAGATATCCCAACCCCCCAACCCCCCCAATCTCGCTAACTACCACTAGCCAACCAAGGGGGTCCTCTTCATCTTCTTCGTCGTCGCGATCCTCCATGTTGTGATTTGCTACAACTAGCTATCTGTCCCATCTCTACCTTTCACACTAGCATTCATACTAGCACTGTGTCTCTGATTTCATCACTTCCAGACGATACATCTTGCAGTAGTTTCAGATCAACAGAGGGTGCACAGAAGTGCGTGGGAGGAGGAGGAGAACAGAGAACGTATTATTACCTTGTTGATTTTCTCCTTCGGGTGTGTGAGGAGTGCAGGGAAGTGGCTGAGAGCGTCACAGTTGAGCACCACCTGGGTCTGTTCATCTGTGCCAGTCACTATGTTCCCAACAGCCCTCAGGGCAGCAGTCTGGATGTGGAGAGGAGAATGTTAATAACATAACTGATTTACTGATGTAATCAGAAATATAATCAGTCTCTCTATCTCTAATGTGCCTCCATACTAGAAGTTTTATTCATTTAATCCTCCTTCACTCTCTTCATACCTGAACTTTGACCTCCTGGTGACTGAGCAGAGGTACCAGATGAGGGACAATTCCAGAGTCGATGACCATTTGAATCTGCTCGTTCCCGGCGTCCGTCAGATAAGACAGAGCCCACACTGTGTCTACCAAGATCTGGAGACAGCAAAGAAGAAAAGAAACTAATGAACATATTCTCCTTCCTGTACAATTTGTTAAATTAGTTACAATTTATTTCCTGGGAAATAATTTAATGATGTCAAAGCACCGGATCCTGCTTAAAAACTGGATTAAAATCAATTTACTCACACTGACATCAGTGTGGTGGATCAGCACGCAGAGAGCCGGCAGGATCTGAGAAAAGGATTGAAAAGAAAAGACAATCATTAAGTGGAGACAACGGCAAAAACATCAACAGGGTTCCTATGTGACCTATAAAGTCCTAATGATAGTATAAACTCTGCAATAACCTGCTACACCGTAATGCACTTCATCACATTAGAGAAACACTAAATCTGCCCTCATTTAACCAACTTTGGTAAACCAGAGGGAACCCTTCCTCTCTGCCTAAACACCACCCAATAAACACATCTTAGATTTTAGGAGAAGGGAACAAAAAAAAAAAAAAAAACTGAAATATGAGCATTGACAGCAAGAGGCAGCCATTTCTGTAGATTGTGACACACAACCATCTTTCTTTTGAGTCCACTATCAGGTCTAAATATAAGAGGAGATCCTACACACCATAACTATTTTATCTTCTTTAAAGACTTTTTAAATCCAACAACTCAGATCTGACCTGACCTCAATGATCTGAGTAAGATCCTCGTTGGATCAAACTCTATATTCATAAAATATTCTAGCTGATTGGTTTAGACCACATGCAGCATCCCCTCTCATCTTCTGACCTGACGGTGCCATATAAATCGGACCTTTCGCATTTACAACTCAGAATATCTTGCCTCTGAAAATGTACAAAGCAGACTGCTTGCGCAATCCCTCACTGGCTTCCCACTCATTAACGCTGAAATACTGTCTTTTCAATCTAGCCCACTCATTCTCCTCCTCCTCCTCACAAATACACACCTCCTGAATCGTCTCCATGGGTGGTGGAGGGTCCTTGTGGCGGCACAGATTGACCATGACCCAGGTGACATTGCGGAGGAAGGTGATGGGGATGGAGGGACTGATGAAAGAGAGCAGGGGCTTGACCACACCCAAGCTGATCACATAGTCTCTGCACTGAGGGCCATCACCTGGAGAGAACACACGTAATAAAAAGATGTATCGCGTGTCATCTTAAGACTTTATTTCTAATACTAATCACTTGTGTTTGCACCAGCAGCCACTCACCAATGATGTTTCCCAGGGCCCAGACAGCCTGTTCGCACACGTTCTGGTGAGGAGAGTGAAGCAGCCTCAGGAACAGAGGAACAGCATCTACACAAAGGAAACAGATGGGATCATATTAAAGTGCATCCTATGATCTGATAGCTCTAGTAAGAGATGGTTACACTTATTAATACAATGGTAATCGTCTGATCACACACATTAAATGACCACTTGGACAGATCTAGACTCCAGATTTGGACATGGCCAAGTTTCCATTTTGACTAAAATGCAATCGAGCAACAACTTGCTAAGGAAAAGCGATAAAGAGGGAGAAAAGGACAATATTTTCTTTCTCTTAATCATAGATTATGAAGCTGATATTATGATTTAAGAGTTTCAAATTGCCTTATGTTGCAGCTTACTGCAAGCGCTGCCATTTAGTGCGATCAATCACAACTTATGAGTGCGTGCCATGCATTCATGTGACAAACAAAAATTTAAGATCATAGCATCTTGATATTTATTACATAGACCATTTTGACAAGTGTAGAAGAAAGAATAAATCCAAAGGCTGCAAAGCCTTTGTCAAACCAAAGTAGCACCCTGTTTTTATTATCCATTAGAAATTTTTGGATGCAACACCGTTAAGTTTGTTCCAGACATTTCACCGGGGCACATGGTAGATGACAATATTTGTGTTAAAAAAAAGTCGAGCTGCTGGTGATAAAAGTCATGCCAGATCATTTGTATTGTACTGTACTGCATGTGCCCGGTGCCTTTCTAGTCTTTACAGCACTGGTTTAGCAGCCCAGAATCATGTCACATGGCGCTTACTCAGCCAATCAAATCTGTGCATTTCGACTCGACTGTGAGTGAGACACACACATCCTGTGTGACACAGGGGAGGGGGGATGAGACAATTTAACGTGCCATACTCTAAAAACAGAAAAGTAAAGCAAAATAAAAGAGCTTTGAATCCAGAATGGATAAATTCTTGTGGCGATTATTAAAAGTGATAATGTGAAGCAGCACTAGCATTATGAGAAAAAGCACAGAGCATCTTTTGAGCAGACATACCCACTGAAATCTGAACTGAGGGCACAGAAAATAAACAAACAGAAATCTAAAAAAGCCAATATGATCCATCCACCAGAAAGAGAAGCATCTGTGTTTTTGATGTTATGTTACTGAAAATCATTCCCTCCATTTCTAAATATCCTGGTACACTGCAATACCACCCAAGCCTTCCCATAAGACTGATGACTAAACAAACAATTCAGGTAAATAGTGACAGCGTATGTGCTATAGACATATTTTCATTTGTCATTCTTGTGTGATTTGTAGTTGTGTATTTGTGTCACCAACTAAGTAGGTGAGAAATGTGAATATACTGTAATCAAAGTAAGTACTCAAATTATGAATTATGGTCATACAACACAATAGGTGTGAAACAAAAAAACATTTAACAATTAGCTTTTCTCAAGTTTAAGTAAAAGCTTTTACCATTTAAAACAGAATATAGATAAATATATATATGAATCAAAAAACACTACAGGTTTATATTCCAGCACACCCACCAAAATAAAATCAACAGCATTTATTCACAGAGGAAAAAAAAAAAAAAAAGGAAGAGAAAGAAAGAAAAAATAAAGTGTCGTGCCGTCAGTGTGACTTACTGGACTGGACCACGGCTTGGGTCTGCTCTGAGGTACCAGACGCTATGTTGGTTAGAGCCCAGGCAGCCTCGAACTGGAGAGATGGGCTGTAGAGAGGCGAGAGATGGATGGAAGCAGCGTTAAAAGTGAGTGTGACTGGGCAGGGGAGTCAAACAGTAAAAAGTATACTGATGAGTCATTTAGATATTTCATGTTCCTGGAAGGTGAAAACTGGAACACATTTACATAAACTGCTTCACCGTTCAGATGTAGGCTGGGCTAAACTCCGCTGGCTCATTAGCATAGCTTTGAAGTGTACACACATAAACTCACAAGATGATCGAGAAAAGGGGCTAACTTGTACTATAATTATCGCACATGGAAAAAAAACATGACTCACTGCTACATGCAGACAAACAGAATTACAGCCTGCTTACTTGTCATCTCTGTCCAGGCAGTGGACCAGTATAGGAAGGATCCCAGACTTAATCAGGTCATCTATGGGAGGGTTACGGTCACTGGACAACAACTTCCTACAAAAACAAAGAGGAGACAAAAGACCATTACTCACACATTCATACTCGCATAGCTTTACTGACACATTCAGACAAGAAGAACCAATTACACACAGAGAGAAACAGCTAAAGAATGTGAACTGTGTACACACTGCGAGTCAATCACGATATACCAGTGACTGTGATGACTTCAACCTGCGACTGACCCAACGTCAACATTACACAACATCAGGTACAGTGTGATGGCATGTTCAGTGTCAAGATATAGCAAACAAAAACAAAAACAAAAATAATAATCCTGGCTACCTGGTCCAGTTTAAGGAGGACTGCACTACTGAGCTGCAGTGCCATTTAAAATTTCCATTAATCAGAAGGAGCTGACTCGCTTTAAATCATCACTGTCTTACCAAGCTGGAATAACATTCAGCCCCTGAAATTTTAACACTGTATTCCCCAAGAGGCAATCAACTGTAATCATAAAAGCCCTTGAAGGTCCAGTGTGTAAGATTTAGTGTCATCTAGCGGTAAAGTTGCAGGTCGCAGCTGACTGAGTGCTGCTTGCGTCTGTGTTTGACTACCTGGGAATGAGAACAGGCTGTAAAGAGTGTAGGAGTAACTATGGTGGCAGCGAAACTCGCAAAAAACGTGGAAGGTCCTGTTTACAGCCAGTGTTTGGTTTTTCCCTTGTGGGTTACTGTAGAAACATGGCGGTTTAACATGGCCGACTCGAGAGAACACCACCCACAACATCTGTAGATAAAAACGGTTCAATCTAAGGTCACGAAAAACAATTCCTGCATTCAGGCGATTATACAGGAATGAAAACATACCTATGAATACTATATTCCATTTCTGATAATATATCCTCCTAAATGTTACACACTGGACCTTTAAGACAAAGTAGTGGTTTACCGGTGAACAGTCTCCGGCTTTCAAATACCAGATGAACCGTTAGTAAATCTGGATTACATTCAAACTGTTACTGTTGTAGTGCAAACAAAAGTTCAATATGATACAGCATCACTAGTTTATTCATAGTAAAAGTGTCTCGAAATTATGTGTAACAATATTAATTGCTGTTGTGTCAAAAAGTAACATTTAAACTTAAATAACAGGTTATAATATAGAGTTTTAGGAGTAAAAGAGTATTGAAAATCTGATGGTTTGTTAAATTTAAATTAAGATCGCCTCAATGACAGTCACACCACCACAAATGGGCAGAAATTAACAAGGTTGAGCTGATTTGTAGTTGTACATAAGCTCTACGTTGAGCCTACGCCATTGTGAGCATCTATACCACTATACGTGTGCTGGTGTGGCTGCGTTGCTCTGCTATGCCACCATGTTGAGTTTCTTCATGTACTTCAAACAATGACGCCAGAAACTCTCCTTTGTCTCTCTCCTCAGTCTATCGTGTGTTTTACTCATTTCCCTACCGCCTGTGAAGCGAAATAACGAGCGAATATGAGGGGACAGTCAAGAGCCTGTCATGCAGCGAGGTGAGCGGGCGAGTGTGTGAGGACACACTTGTCTCAGAATGTGTGTGTGTGTGTTTGAAGAGGGATTCTCAAACAGTATTATTAACCTCCCACTCTGCATTGCCACAAAGTCTAGTCACATTTCTGGGGAGGTGCACATCGATTTGACGCAAGTATAAATCAGGTTTTAGACGTGAAAGCACCTCTAGATGCTTATAACTGAACTGTCAACACTACAGGTGCGACACTAAATGATTATACAGAGACAATAAGCGATATTCAATTACTGGCAAACTAGTGGTGTAAGGATGACGTTGACTCAGAGAGGGTGTGTGTTCCTACCTGGCAGCCTGAACAGCACTCAGCTGGACGCCCTGGTTATCACTGGTGGCATTCTAAAACATCAAGTGATACACATTTAAAAATCAAACAATATCCCCAGAATACAGAATAAATGATGCAGAAAAATAAACCCAAGATCCAACTTACTTGTACTATTGCTTCAAGGGAGGTGTTTTGCTGAAAAAGAGCAATTTTAAAAAAGTCACACATCTGTAACACATACAGTACGTATTGTCAAGAGTTACAAGATGTTCACTAATGGGTATATCGTAAACTGGGGGTTAGGCAAGCCAAAAGCCATCTGAATACCCTGAAGAGTGCATATCCTGGAAGTACCAAATGCGGGCGAGCAGACATCTGTTAGCTTCTTGCTTTGCATTATCAACATCATTCCTAAAATTGCTTTTGTGTGTGAAGTTGACAAAGCAGGAAGGAAAGTCACCACAGCACCACTGAGGACGGCAAAGGGAGGCTGGTGTTTGGGAAATGCCATCAGAACAATGTAGTGCATTCTTACTTGAACCAAAGCTGTGTTAACGCCCGGTACCTCACAGACAGCGCCAACATTCATCAATAAATGAAGGGATTCTGTCCTCGAAAGTGCTTATAATTTTAAATAGATATAGGAAGATTGTCTGTCTGTGACAGTCTACAGATTTAGACATTGGAAGTGTAGTGAAGGGTAGTACATGTTGCTGGTATGATGTCCATATGACAACAGATCATTTTCACTATCTATTTTTGCAGAGAGCCGCGTGTGTCACTTGGAAAGAAATAGGCGACACGTCTAATCTCTAGATGATGCGGCGCTCCAGCTGCCTGTGAGCCGCACTGCTCACGCGGGTATCTTGCTCTACCCTGTTGACATGAACAAAAGCAAGACGTTTCTGTGTACGCACAGGCGCTTCTCCCGCAGGCAGTGTCCTGGATGTAACAGTCAGCAGGCTGGACGGCACGCCGGCATTCAACATAATTCGCCAATTGGCAAGCTCACTTGACGCCATCTATAGGGAGCCTCTGAGTATCACTTTCAATCAAGCACTGACCATGACTGCGGGCCAGATTATATAAAGTTGGCCGATGCCTCTGATGGCCGACAGTCGCAGCCGATTGCTTCTGCCCCCTCAAGTAAAGGTTCAAACATTTGAACACAACCGTGCCTACAAATATACGTTAGAGCAGATTTATATTTCTGTATTTAACTTCCATGCATGAGGAAGAATAAAGAAAACGGCAATTTAGGTAAACTGAAAATAGCTCAAGAAAAAGAAAAATGAATATAATCTGATACAACAGAAAAGAGCTTATAGGTATAGTCTAACAAGCTCAACGGGCCAAAATCTTTTATTTTGCAAGGGCAAGTAAATGTCCTCAAGGCAACACAATCAATGTGTTATTTTAGACTGACTGAAAACAGTCGCACAGCGGTCGTTGGTTGTTTAAGTATTTAAACTCGATTGGCCAGCATACTTTTCTACAAAAGCCTCTCTAATGTCTTGCAGTGAGTCAGAGCAGCATGTCATTGTTGATATATTGCTAAGCAGTCCATTTCGAGTCGGCCCTCTCAATACCACTAGGCAGTTACTGTGATTGAATGTCTGAACTGCTGAGTGGCCATTTTAATCCGGCAATGCCACCAAACGTAAAGGCCCCTTTACTGATGGCGGGATGCTTGATCTGTCTACTTTTTGTGACGTTGTTAGCCTTAAAATACACAGGCCTGCTGAGTGCCAACACTGCACACAAAGAGGGGGATGACTGTTAGGCTTCATTTTGAGCAGAGGACACGCAACCGTACCGATCTGAAATCTCCGTCGACATCAGAGTCCTCACAGATGTCCTCATGGGGCACATTTCTCCTCTTCAGAAGGTGCTCATCTCTTTTGTTCTGTGGGGGAAGGAGCAGAAATATCACTTCATGTATATCCCAGCAGAAGCTCACGATAAGATGGACAATTCAGCATCTTTCAGCACGTTATTTCAACTGAATTAGGATTGTAGTTGATAGCACAAAATAACACAGATGTTTTTACCTTTCTGAGTTCCACCACTACCTCAGTCCGCTGTCTTCTCATAGTCTGTGGGTGAGAAAGGGTATTAACATTATACAACAAAGAACTTTAATCCCAACCTGCCTTTGCCCAAGAGGGTGACACAACATTAAATGTGGGCACGCTCCGAGAGCTGGATCCCAGTTTGCACGACCTGAGCCGAACAGCAGTATCAGTCATACCTGGAGCATTAAGTCAGCAGCCCACACACTGCATATGACAGCACCCAAACACACTCAACACAAGCCTGACCTAATATGACTCAGCTAAAGTTACTGCAAGGCCCCCCCCCACCATATAATTTCATACGTCCTTTATGTTATTATGTTCTTATTCACACAAAATTAGGCACAATAGCCTAAAACTAAAGCAGTCTTCTAGTAAACCCAGCCTTCCTGAAGGTTAGTGTTATTTTTTTCTGCTGAAACTGTTTATTAAAGGCCCCCGATTCTGATTTGTGGTCTTCAGTAGAGACTATAGTCTGTGCTGCTGTTCAGTTGTGTTGTGTTATAATGAGAAGACAAGTGGTGTTGAACATTTAGTCTACCAGCATCGCTATACATGTGTTGGACAAAATATTGGAAACACCTCTGAGTATAGCACAATCCAGCTCAACCGTACCACAAACTAGTCTCCAAAATGACCATGGAGTTGAATCAACACCTCTCTGAGACACTTTCAACAACAAAAGGACATTACAAAGCTAAATGAAGGTGGATTTTATGACAGCAGGCTGCATTAGCTGTACCTAATAAACTGGCATTTGAATATATGGCTTGGTATATACTTTAAGAGCAGAGCAGAGTTGTTTTAGTTGCATATACAGTTTGTTGGTAATGCTTGCGTCCAGCACTGACAGACCTCCACCATGATGATACCTCGACTTATTAACAGGTTGCTAGGCGAGACAACTCGTGTCTAGAGGCCTTGCTCGCAACAGAAACTACTTGTCAAACAGGATGTGTGAGTATATCCTGCTCACATTGCTACATCTGAACGGATCCCGCCTGAAAACAACACAATCACCCCCCCCTCAACCTAACATTAATGAAGCAGTATGTTGATGTATATATATATATATATATATATATATATATATATAAATATGAACTTATGGATC